TCCTCATTTGTAAACACACAAATTCAAGAGTTTTTTACTCTTGTCTTTCTTTCTCCTCCTTTATTTTATTATAGAGTATTTTGTAAGAGAGTGAGTGTTGGGAAACACTTGTGTGCACCCTTTCTTTGGAGTGATCTTGTGAGGTTGTTCTCTTGGGTTATTTGGGACTAATTAGAGTATTTACTCTAATTTTGTACTCTTTTGTACTCTTGTTAGTATAGTGAAATTGCTACTTTCCGCTTGTGGACTTAAGTCACCTTGACCGAACCACGTTAAATTTGTGTCTTCTTTATATTCTTTAATTGCCGTTATTATCAACTTGCATTGTCTTTGTTATTATCATTATAACATTGTTTGGCTAAATTCCGCACTACCCGATTTACCAATCATAACAATAAATATATGTAATACAGAAAATTAATGACACCTGGACCCAAAAGAAAATAAAAAAATTAAAGACATTCATGCATGATTCATGCATTTTCCAGGATAAAAACGACGAGAGAATACTATTTAGGATCTTTTTGAAGCATATACTATTGGAAATTAATTTAAAAGTATGTAAGAGACAATAAGATAAACTAATTGGTCAAACTCAAATCCTAGCTTTTAATTAAGCTGATTTTGGCTTGTTAACAGAACTTATGGAAGTACTCAGCTTTAATTTTGGAGTTTCAGCAAACGTCAAACGATTCTCCAGAATCATTATGCAGCAAATTCCTCAAATATTCGTATTTACATCCCCTCTTTAAAGGTATCAAATTGTATGTTTTCCTTTATTTATTTTTTTCTTCTAATCTCTCTCCCTATCTCTCTTTTGATAATTAGCCCAAAACTCTCCCTTTCTAATGTTAAATTACGTTTATTCGATTGTATATGTATTTACTGTTGAGTCCCACATCGGCTCTTTAGGGATGAGATATTTTTATACGGTTTTGGGCAATCCTTACGTTATGAGCTAGCTTTTGAGGTTGAGTTAGACCCAAGATCTAATTTTTTCGGCTATCGAATATAAATAGTTTCTGATACGGGCCAAAAGTGAAAAAAACACGTTTTTTATCATGGTATCGGCAGAGGCGGATTCAGGATTTCAAGAGGATGGGTGCAGTGTTGTGAAGAAGTGTTTCTAGAGTTTATATTTTGACGGGTTTAACTTTAGTCTCTTATCATGAACCCACTAAACTTTTGAAATTATAGGTTCAAAATTATATTCTTTTTGAAATTTTAGTAATTTTCACACACACACACACACACACACATATATATATATATATATATATATATATATATATATATATAAACAAGACTCGAATTTGAACAGTCAATTTCACATGTAGAGGTACGCCNTATATATATATATATATATATATATATATTTAAGTAATTTTGAAGAAATATAGCATTGTTATACATGATTTAAGGAGAAGAGTATGAGTTCACGTGAACCCATATTCATCAACCTGAATACGCCTCTGGGTATCGGAGTCAGGCCCACTTCAATTCATTGTTTATGGGGTGTTGAATCCCACATCGCCATATTTAGGAATAGGATGGTCTCCTTACATGGTCAATCCTCACCTCACGAGCTAGCTTTTGGGGTGAGTTATACATTACCCATTCTTTAGATTCAGGTGTAGAGATGTCATGGCAATTTGACCTCCGAGTCTTTATATAATGGGATTGTCTGTCTACTATAATGAAGAAAGCATTGCTTATGATTTGTAACATTTTGTGTAGTACAAAATTCTAGCTGCAATACTTGGATCCTATGTTGTGCGGACTTTCCAAAACAGTTGCCGCACTCGTGTCGGATCCTCCAAAAATGCACTACTTTGACATGGTCTGGATTGGTTTCAAGCATTTTAAAGTATGCACATAGCTTGGATCTGCCTGGATCTATTGTTTCTCAAACTTAATATGTGTAACATCTTCATGGCATAATTGATAGTTAGTAGATTAGATTATATATTTGGATGAGTCAAGTGCAAAAATTTTGTGGTTCAAACATAAGGTAAAATGAGAATTGGTCTAACAGCTACTTTGACATGGTCTGGATTGGTTTCAAGCATTTTAAAGTATGCAGTTACTTTCCTGACTCTAATTAATAGTTGGATTTAGAATTGCAGCATGTTGGAATATGTTCTCAGATATATTTAAGTGCTTACATATTTTGTTCAAATGGCCAGAATTTGTAATCACAATGACAGATAGCTGCAACAGACTTGCAGTTGGAAGGGACAAAATCGATAGACTATCAGATCTTCCTATTAATGTCATACACCAGATTCAGGATCACATGTCTATTGAAGATGCTGCAAAAATGAGTATTTTGTCTAGTACGTGGAGATATGCTTGGGCTTCAAACCCGAAGCTCGTATTTAATACACAGTTTTGCACAAAGAGAATGGCGTCAAACACAATAGACATCATTAGTACAATTCTGTTGCAGCACCATGGAGCCATTAAGATATTCCTCGTAGATATTTCAGTTATACATTCTTCTCAGTACTCAGTTGTCGATCAATGGATGCTATTTTTGTCAACAAACGGTCTCGTGGATCTCACTCTTCAGAATCAAAACACTGTCAATGCTCCTTATGAATTGCCTTCCTATGTGTACAGTGTAGGACTAGAACGTTTGGTCCTGTCGAACTGCATTTTCAGACCGCCTTGTAGTTTTAGGGGTTTCCTCAAACTCAAAACGCTTTTATTAAAGCGAGTTGCTTTTGAATTAGTCGCTGCAACTTCTTCCCTCTTGATGCCAAACCTTGAGAGACTGCGTTTTACGCAATGTAGTGGCTTTCCTTTCTTGAATATATATGCCCCAAACCTTTTTTGTTTATGTTTCTATGGCTGTGGCAATGACACCTTAAAATTGAGTCCTTTCATGGAATGCGCGAAGCTGAAGATAGTTGCAATTGAATCACACGACGAAGTTTCACTAAACAGACAAGATAAAGCAATGAAATTGACGAATCTTCTTAGCAGCTGGCCAAACCTTAGTCATCTTATTTTGGGCAGATACTTCCTCAAGGTAAGTTGCGAAAAATGGATATGTTTGCAAATATTTATAATGTTATAATCTTATTCTTTTGTGGTTGTTTAATTTGCTGTCTAGTTTTTTGCTTCTGGTACTGGAGCAGAGAGTCTTCCCACGCGCCTCGCCAGATTGAGATGTCTCTATTTATCAGATTGTGATTTTGACAGAGAAGATCAAATATCTCCGCTTCTAAGCATTCTTAGAAGTTCTCCAAATTTAGAGATACTTCAAATTCTGGTAAGTAGCTGAATTCATGAGTTGTAAGGCATTTTGCGAGTAAAGAGCCGAAAACATTACTGATTTTACTTTTAAACTGCTTTTAGTCGGGCCAGAGGAAGAAAGGTGGCATGGAAGTCGATGTAAATCTTACTGATGAACCAGACTGCAGGACACAAGGACGACTCAATAACCTTCAAATATTGCAAATAAAAAATTTCCATGGTTCAAGAACTGAATCGCGCTTTGTAAGGTTCATTCTTGGCTCTACTCCTTTACTCCGGAAAGCTATCCTTTTGGTCGATACAAGTGTTAATGAAAGACAATACTTGAAGATCTCAGAGGAGTTGATGCGTTTCCCTCGAGCATCTCCTACATCGAAAATTGTATTCCGACCATGGTCAAAAGAACAAGCCAGGTCTTCAATGCCATGTTGTTGAGATGGCCGGAATCAGAGGTGGAGTCAAGATTTGAAGTTATGGGTTCGAAAATCTAATCTGTTTAAGTTACTGGGTTCTAAATTTAATAAGTTGTACATATTCGATGAATTTCTTAAAACAAATACATGGTTTGGACAATAGTTACTGGATTTGGCCGAACCCGTAAGTTGTGTTCTAGCTCCGTACCTTGCCGGAACCCCTTTCTTGCTCTTCATCGTCATCTTGCCTTCTCTTCTATATGTTTGAATGACAGTACAGGATCCTTTATTTTGTTTCTTGAACTAATGGATCGAAATTGTGATTGTATACAATTCTTTAGATTCAGGTGTAAAATGTCTCTTTAGTGCTAACTAATTAGAGTTATATTGTCCACAAGGGTTGGCTGAGTTGGTTGGGTGAGTGGTTTCGCGGAAACCTGTGATTGATTCCCGTCACCAGCAGCCTCCTCAGTCAGAGCTCGTCGCATTGGGTTTGCCTATTGCGATTTACATCTCCTATATGGTTTTGCGAGCTATCAGTGAACGGGTTACCCAGCGCGCACACGAAAGACAGCAGCGGCATAACGTTTTCTGTTGTCCAAAGTTCTGTAAAAGAGATCAAAGAAGGCATATTGTTGGAATTTTGCATTCAATAAAATTTCTACCTAAACTGAAACTGCCATTCAGAGTTTGACATCACATTCTGCTACCTGCAAATCTTTGTTTAATGCTAATCAGTAGAGTGTATGGAATTCTATCTTTGTATTATTTTACGCGGAATAGAGTATGGAATAAAAATACGTGTATTAATTATACCTAGATTAGAATATTAAAAATTCTTAAAAAATGAAAGAATAATGCAAACAGAAAAATGATACATATATTAAAGAGTGCAAAATAGAAAGAACTCAAACTTGAGAGTCAAGTATTCAGCATCATAATAATCAACATAATTTAAAAAAAAATCCTAAAAGTTGGAAGTGACACAACCTCAATTTTAATAAATAAAAAAAACTCGACAAGTAAAAGAATAGAAATCACTTGGAATTGAAAAATTAACTTAAAGACAATATCAAAAACTATTACTACATTATAAGTGTATTTAATATGTTATGTCAAATAATTAACCCATCTTATTTTCAAGTTATTAATCTCACTCAATTATGAACGAATAATTGCGGTTGATTTTTAAGTTATCTGAAAAATTATTTTACACTGTAAAACAGAGTTAACACAAATAAAAAATAAAAAATAAAAAAGCTCCCGCACATGTCAGGAAATCCAAATCCAATTCCCAACCAAAATGGGAAACTGGTCGTTGGTTTTCATATCTATAAAACCTTTGTTACTCGTCGACTTTCCTCTGGTACAAAACCCGAAACATCGAACATTCTCAAAAATCTCCTCAAATATTCATATTGACATCCCTCTTTAAAGGTATCAAATTGTATGTTTTCCTTCTTTTTTTTTTTTTAAAAAAAAAAATCTCTCTTGATAATTAGTTCCTTTCTTAAGGTAAATTGTGATTACTGTAACTGGATATGTACTTTTACGAGTTAATTATACGTTTCAATGAATTGCAATTGTGATGGTATAAATACTATAGTCATTCTTTATATTCAGACCCTTGTGCGGGGTCTAATCGAAACATCCTCTCAACCTTCTCAAAGTAAGGTTTGCCTGTACACTTACCCTCCCAGACCCCATTGTTGTTGTTATAGTAGCAGTAGCAGTAGTATTCTTTATATTCAGGTGTAAAGAAACTCTTTAGTACTAGCTAATTAAAGTTATGTTGCTAGAATTGCTTACTAACAAGCTATATAAACTATAAAGATATGTATACTACATTCAATATTTTTTATTGGGATTGTCATAGTTCAATAACATTGATAAAGATGTTTTAAAGTTTTATATGGTCCAAATTAAGTTCTCGTAGTTGCAATTGTTGGATTTTTTTTGAAGCTTAACTTCTTCCTGGCACACTTGGTAGAATAGTTTGTATATATCCATGGCGAAGCCAGGAATTACGCTAAGGGCGTTCAAGATTTACTATACATAAAAGTAATTTTTGATTTATATACCCCGTATTATTTTTTATTTATATAGTATAATTTTTCGATGAAGGGTATTCAACTGATCACCCTTTATTGTATGTGGCTATGCCTGTGTGTATAATACTGATAAATGTTTGGATGTCCAACCCAAGGTAAACTGAGAATTGGTCTAACACTTATGCTAGCTATCTGTATAGCAAGAGCTTTGCTCTGACATACATTCATTCCCCGTGGTTTTATTGTGATAGACAAGAGTTGACATGTGTTTCGATTGATGTGCGTCTTAAAGTATGACATTACTTTCTTGACTATAATGTAGAGCTACGTTGGATTTGTGTATGCAGCATGTTGAAACATGTTCTCATTTATGTTTAAGTTCCCTCTGTTTTGTTCAAATGACCAGAAGTCAGAATGGCGATGACAGATAGCTGTAAGAGACTTGCAGTTGGAGGGGACAAACTCGATATGCTTACGGATCTTCCTATTAATGTCATACACCAGATTCAGGATCACATGTCCATTGAGGATGCTGCAAAATTGAGTGTTTTGTCTAGAGCATGGAGATATGTTTGGGCTTCAAACCCGAAACTCGTGTTTAATGCACAGTTTTGCACAAAGAGAACACCATCAGACACAAGAGACATCATTAGTACAATTCTGTTCCAACACCATGGAGCCATTAAGACGTTCCTCATGGATATATCGATAATACATTCTTCCCAACACTTAGTTGTCGATCGATGGATGCTATTTTTGTCAAGGAATGGTCTCGTGAATCTCACTCTTCAGAATCAAAACAATGGCAATGCTCCTTATAAATTGCCTTCATATGTGTATGGTGTGGGACTAGAACGTTTAGTCCTGTCGAACTGCATTTTCAGGCCACCATGCAGTTTTAGGGGTTTCCACATGCTCAAATGGATTCAATTTAAGCGAGTTGCCTTCGAATTAGACGTTGCAAATTCTTCCCTTTGGATGCCAAACCTTAAGATTCTGTGTTTTATGTATTGCAGCGGTCTTCGTTTCTTCAATATACATGCCCCAGAACTTTCAATATTATCTTTGCATAGCTGTGCTACCCTTAAATTGAGTTCTTTCATGAAATGTGGGAAGCTGAGAATACTTGGAATTACATTCCAAGAAGAAGTACCACAAAACAGACAAGATAAAGCGATGAATTTGACCAATTTTCTCAGCTGTTGGCATAATGTTAGTCATCTTATTTTGGGCAGATACTTCCTCAAGGTTAGTTGCAAAAATTGATTTATCTGCACAGCTCAGAATAATGCACATATATGTAATGTTTAACCTTATTCTTTTGTGGTTTTTTGCTGTCTAGGTTTTAGCTTCTGGTACTAGAGCAGAGAGTCTTCCCACGCGCCTCACCAATTTGAGATATCTCTATTTTTTTGATTATAATTTTGATGGTGAAGATCAAATATTTCCCCTTCTAAGGATTCTTAGAAGTTGTCCCAATTTGAAGATACTTCAATTTCTTGTAAGTAGCTAAATTCATGAGTTGTTAATCATTTTATGAGTAAAGAGCTGAAAACATTACTTACTTCACTTTTAAACTACTTTTAGTCTAGCCAGGGGAAGAAAGATGATAAGAAAGTGGATGTAAACTATTTTGAAGAACCAGACTGCACGGCACAAGGATTCAATAATCTTCAAACATTGCATATAAACAAATTCTATGGTTCAAGAACTGAATTGCGCTTTGTAAGGTTCATACTTGGCTCTGCCCCTTTACTCCGTAAGGCCATCCTTTTGGTAGATTCAAGTATTAATGAAAGCCAATCCTTGAAGATCTCAAAGGAGTTGATGCGGTTCCCTCGGGCATCTCCTAAATCGGAAATTGTATTCGAACCATGGTCAAAAGTACAAACTAGGCTAGTGCTACGTTGTTGAGATGGCCAGAACTCCTTTCTCAACTCTTCATCATCATCTTGATTCTTGCCTTCTGTTTGTTTTATTGACTATCGTAGAGGATATTGTATTTTGTATCTTTGCATATTCGCCTTGGATAATTATGCTTTTCGTTCCTTAATTAACAATTGTTAAGCAATTGTTGAAGGACTGCATTTTTCTGTATTATATCCCAAGCTAATGCATACAGAGAGATCTGGTGTGAATAAGTAAATATGTGCACTAGCGCTGTATTTTTGAAGGGGAGTAAGCCTGAGATCGAAATTAAGTTAAAAAATTTCGTGCTATTAATTCCTGCTTTCTGTGAACCAGTATAATGCATCTTTTCCTTCAATTTGTAGCATTGCAGAGGTAATTCTACAAACTACTTTGACTTGTTACTTCTTTTCCTTCTGCTACTGTGTACTGATATAAAATGGTTTCGAGAAAAATAGACAGAAACATGATGAATTAACACCTCATCTCGAAGAAGTGCTCTTGAAGGGGTAATGTAGGATCAGCTACTGGCGCCATGCTGGAATTTGGAGCGCTAACAGAGCTGGTAGTTGGCTCCTTGGCGTAACCGGGCTTAACACAGGAGCACTAACATGCTCAGGATGTGTCGGACGCTAGACTTGCTTCATCAAGGATTCTTGCTGAGCCTGAGAAAATATAGCCAAAGGTGAGGTCTAGCAGCAAAATGCAGATAGCCTGGAGTGCTTTAGAGGTTAGTTGGTAAACTCTGGCCATTTTTTCGTGTGAATAATGCTATAACAAAAAAAAAACAAATGAAGAGTTAAAATAAGAAGTGGAGGTAATAGGGTAGTTGTGGTAAATAGTGATAAATACCCTTGTAGGTACTATTTTGTTGCAGAAGACCAAATCCGAAAACGGACATCACCTCATGGGTTCTGGATTTTAGAACGACGACTTCAAGTGTTAATGACTGGGTTCTAAATTTAATATTTGTGCGCATTTAATATTTTTCTTAACACAAATACAGTGTTTGAGCAGAAGCTATTGGGTTCGACCGAATATATATATAGCTCGGCTTCTGCCTCCGCCATTGGGTTTGAAGGAATCAAATCCGATTTTTTTTTGCTGATTGTCTAGGCTGTGAAAGTGGATTATCCTCATAGTAACTGAGGGATCAAGAACTTTAGGAACAAAGAGGTACAAGTATTTCTGTTGATGAATTAAGTTTTAGATGTTTAGTCGTCTTAAACTAATGAAAGTAATTTATCCGATATGAGAAAATTAATTAGTGGTTTTTGGCATCTGCACGCAGAATTGCCTCGTCTCATATTTCCTTTATTTTCCTGGCATTACAATAAATAGAATTGCAAGCAGCATAATGCAATTTTACTTTTTTTATGTGGGCAAAAGTGTTTGGATCGGGAGCTCGGGTAGTGCGGAATTTAGTCAAACAACGTTATAATTTAGTCAAAGAGGTACAAGTATTTCTGTTGATGAATTAAGTTTTAGATGTTTAGTCGTCTTAAACTAATGAAAGTAATTTATCCGATATGAGAAAATTAATTAGTGGTTTTCGGCATCTGCACGCAGAATTGCCTCGTTTCATATTTCCTTTATTTTCCTGGCATTACAATAAATAGAATTGCAAGCAGCATAATGCAATTTTACTTTTTTTATGTGGGCAAAAGTGTTTGGATTGGGAGCTCGGGTAGTGCGGAATTTAGTCAAACAACGTTATAATGACAATAACAAAGACAATGCAAGTTGATAACAACAACAATTAAAGCATATAAAGGAAACACCAATTTAACGTGGTTCGTTCAAAGTGACTGACGTCCACAAGCGGAGAGGAGCAATTTCATTATACCAATAAGAGTACAAAAGAGAGTACAAAATTAGAGTAAATACTCTAATTAATCCTAAATATCCTAAGAGAATAACCTCATAAGATCACTCCAAAGAAAGGGTGGGTTCATACAAGTGCTTCCCAACACTCAACTCTCATACAAAACACTCTTAATAAAGGAGAAAAGGAAGAAACAAGAAATGAAGACACAAGTCTTGTTGGTGTGTATAAAATGAAGTATTGGCCTTTTTTGCCTCTTAGTTGTAAAAGAAAAGATACAATTTGTACAAATGATATCCACCACACAATGCAATATTTTTAGGTCTCGAAAAATATTGCCAACAAAGTCTATACTTTACAAATATGCTTATGCTTATGCTTATGTGAGATGGATTTCATTAACCAAAATATTGGCAATATTACAAAAAGAATGGAATTTAGCATTAAATATTGTTGGAGTGAGCAAAGGAACCAGAGGCAAAGGCTGCAGCCAAGATTAGCTTTCTTCTTGAAAAGAAAAAACGTTGAAATTAACTCTTTTCACTAAATATACAATACAAAAGTTCTTGAAGAAAATCAAAATTAAGCTAGCCTAATTACTCTTTTTTGTCCAAAATGATCACAAAGTCCAATTAAAATAATGAGCCCTTATTTTATTATTTTTTTGTTCGTCTACGCTTTTTGTTCATCGCGATTTTCTTTCCTCGAAGATATTTGTTGCAAGGTAGATTTAAGATTTGGATTTTGTGGGTTATAAATTCTAGAGTAGCAACATTTTGAGGCTTATGAAAATCTCCAAAAGACTTCTTAAGATTAACTGATACACGGACTTGATGAATATCTTTTTATCGAAGTTGTTATCTTTGCCAATTTTCACCTCTTACTTTAATCTGATAATTTTGTCTATCGTTCTTAGTAAGTTTACTTGATAAAAGCCAACAGAAGATAAACTTGAAGAATGCAAACATCTAACTACAAATATTAGAAGTATTAAATCTATTCCGAATTTCCTAGTCCTTGTGTCTCACTACAATCTTTTTACTTTTATCTCTACTAAATGGTTCTAACACAACTATACTTATCTATCTATCTATCTATCTATACTATATTAAAAGTAGTAAAGTCCTTAGCGAAATATCGTTCGCCTTTTTTACCCTTTAAAAAAATATTTCACATTGGATGAATTTGTAATTTTAAGTTGCTTTCCTAAATTTTAGGACTTTAAAATTAACTAAAATTTTGTTTATTAAATCTTTTCTCATTAAACTAGGTAGCAAATCCTAATATTTAGCACTTTAAATTATTAAACTTTTTACCTTATATGAATTTCCTAATTTGACGTCCGTTAATATTAAAGCTTTAAAACTATACTAAAACTATAAGATTTTCTTATTATTCAGAACTTTAGAAATTATGCATTAGCAATATTTTCTAGGAGTCAAAAGCACAATGATTCCGGAAGCACAAAAACGAATCAAAATTGACATACTAATGAGCTTTTAACTATTTGAAATCAAAAAATTTATTGAATAAAGTTCTAATTATAGTTAATATTTAAAAATTTGGATGAGCTAATATTAAAAATTTATTAATAAAAATTAAGTTATTTTCTTCAATATTGAGAATAAATAATTAAGTATTTGAATTAACTAATGCAAAAGAGTTCAATTTAATATATTTTTAAATTCGTTATATAAGTAAGTTTATTTGTCAAGTTGACAAAACTCTTAAGGTATATAAACTAATTTATGTAAGAAGAGTATTAACGGTGAAAGAAATTATATAAAATTAAGAGTCAAATTGATAACAATGTAAATCTGAAGCAATAAAGATGAAATAATAGAAGACCATATATATGATAAAAGAGTTATCATTTTTTTTGTTTCTTGCATTCAGTGATTCAGTCTAATAGGTGACAATGTCTCACTATATTATCTTTTTAAATTAAGTTATTTGTTATAAAATGTTATTCAACATTAGTTTTTCTTTAAACTTTACATTGTTACTATCAATTTTTAGGAGGTATAATGTCAACTTTCATCCTAAATTTCTAGATGTCACGACCTCCAAAATATCAATACTAGGCAAGCCGACAATCTCAATAAAACACAATATCTTTTAAGTTTGAAAACATAATACTTGAATTCAATAGAAAAACCTCACAATTTCAGATACAAAACAATCCCAAAATCCGGTGTCACTGAGTACATGAGCATCTAAATGGATACAAAGTCTGACTGATAAAAATACTATTTGAAAGTATAGAACAACACAATAACTGAAAGAAAGAGAGTCAAGGTCAATGGACGCTAGACAACTACCTTGATAGTCTCCAATTGATAGCACTCTGAAATCTAATAGTCGCCGTGTCTGAAAGCATCTGGATCTGCACACGAGGTGCAGAGTGTAGTATATGTACAACCAACTCAATAAGTAACAAGACTAACCTCTGGGCTTAAAGTAGTGACGAGCTCCGCAGGTACAGTCCAGTATATAAATAACGGTACAGAAATGTAGGCATACTTTCAAGTTCAACAGTTAAACTTAGTACAAGTAGGATAGATCAATACTGCATGATATGAGGGATATGACATCTCAGTGGAAAACCTCATGCACTCCTAATCACTAATCGATCGGTCACTCAGTACTGTTTATGGCCAATCTAGCCTAGGGATATTCTATCTCGTATATGTATATTTCGACTCAGTACCGAATAAGGTCAATCCGGCCTGGGGTAATTTTATCCCCAAATGCAAATGATTCAGACAAGATCCATGTCCAGGGAAAATCGTCACAAATATAAATAAGTAAGGCAAGTCTATGCCCTAGGAAGTTCATCTCGTATATAAATCATCTACGCTCACTATGGGGGGTGCAGACTCCGGAGAGACTCCTTCAGCCCAAGCATGATATAAAGCCGATATGGCCTACTGCAGGCGGGGCATCCCCGATCCATATAATAATAATGCCTATAAGGCCTGCTGCAGGCGGGCACTCCCGATTCATAGAATAATAATATATATAAAGCCAATATGGCCTGCTGCAGGCGGGCAGCCCCGATCCCATAAATATCCTCACAATGGATGAACATGACTGAGAATGAAATATAAAGTTTTAAAAACAATTAAATTCAACGGCGACACGACCCTATGGGTCCCAAAACATTGGCACGTAGCTTAAACATGATCTTTAATACGAGTCTCAGCTCAATTCTTCTAACACGTGGAGAATATGCGGATAAAAACATGATTCTTTAATTTTACAACTTCACATAATTTATTCAAGTCACAATTTATTTGGTGCACGCCCACACGCTCGTCACCTAGCATGTGCGTCACCTCCAAACAATTGATATAACACCAA